CATGTATTGTAAAGTTGTGTGAATTTTTCAATAAATTCTTTTGTCAAAACCACTTGCAATCTGATTCATAGCTGAGCGCCTTGCCGCCGGTTACACTTGCACCATTGTGAGGTATATGATAATTCTTCTGTATATGATAATTACATTTATGCAGAGGATCTACACAGTGATCGGAACTTGGAAAGAATCTATACTTCAATATATCAACTGCTGTTATTATGCAATCTTTATTACTTTACAAAATGTAACCCCATTTAATAATTGTATATTATCTACCAGTAAATTGAAATATATAGAAAAAATTAGCCATATTATTAATTAAGTCTTTTTTTAATGTAGTGTTTAAAAAACGAGTAGGAGTGTTTTATCAGGTAYGAAAGCACGAGGCGTAGCCTCATGCTTTTATACCTGATAAAACACGATCTACGAGTTTTTTGAACTGCTTAAAACACTCATGAACAATTTATGAGATTTTGGTTCAACTGGAGCCACCATACACATCACGAACATGGATTTTTATACTTCGATAGAGATTTGATGTCACGGGTATGCGCAAGCAGATTCAATAGAAGCTCCCACACGTTGGATATTGCGTGCCAAGGCAAAGATAGACACGTTAGTCAAAGATCATTAGGGTTGACTATGAGCTTGATGAAGCTCTATGTCTTCATCTAAACTTGGATGCATACTTCATCCCTGATGAAGTCATCCTCATAGTATTCGAGTGGTCTTTATATAAAGATCACATGTGTCTTTATATAAAGACACGTGTCTTTATATAAAGATCACATGTGTCTTTATATAAAGACACGTGTCTTTATATAAAATCACTTGAATACTAAAGAAGAGGACTTTATCGGGTATAAAGGTTCATGCATGTGACGTGTATGATGGCTCCAATTGGACCATAAACTTATGAATTATTAATGAGTGTTTTAATTAAGTGTCAACGTTGATAATATATATCTAGCATTTTCAGTGTTTTTGTAGTTAGCATGTCCAGATATGACAAGCTTTATGGGTGCTTTGGCTTCCGTCTATCCTTGGTCTATCAAATTGATAGTTGCCTGACTGAAACAAGCCAGGAAGATGATGTCTGGAAATTGCTCTAATTATATAAATATGAAAATAGCTGTAATCTACATTGAAATATAGATTTTACGATAAGTAATGTCACAAGTCCAGTGTTGGCTTGGACTTAAATTTCCTAACTGATCTCTCACTTGCACGGAACCGGAAGTGGTTGCCATAAATCTTGAATGTAAAACCATTCAGCTCAAAAGAAAAGACACTGTTAGCCTTTGGAATAACTGAAAGATAAGAACATTACTTAGATGAGCAGGGCTTAAAATAATGGTTGGTCCGTTGCCAGTAATGATCACAGACAAAATCAGTCTTGGCTAAGTTTCACCTCGTTTCTGACTAAACATTTCTGGTCAAAATGACCAGCAAAGCAAGTTTGACTGGACAAGTTAAAATTCTTGCCCAACATTGTCTGATGACTGACCATTATTTTAAGCCCTGAATGAGCTCAAATAGACCTCTTTATTTGGGCATAATGACTTCACTTTTCATACCATGTGTCATTCTCTTGAGAATAAGATTTTTTGTTCAGTTGTATCCATATCCATGAGTCTTCTCATGTACAACCACTAAATAAAGAAATTGTACTCTAGGGAATGAGATGTAGTCTGAAATGGAATAAACATTACCACCAAGGTAAAGAGGTTTGTTGCCCAGTAAAAAGACATAAATCTGTATTTGCTGTATTCAAATATATTAAGTCTGAAAGCAGGGCAACAGCCAATTAGTTTTGTTAGATTTTTAGACAGCTTCTCATCATGTTTGTGTGAACCAGAGGACTTCAGACATGGCATGTTTTGATTGATGAAAGTCAAAACCTTAGATGTCTTAAAGTTGTCCAGCTCACAGAAACATAAAAAGCACTGAATTATGCAGCAATTACTTAATTTTACATATTATTAAACTATACTGGAAATACGTGTACTCCCAAACAAAACGTGAAAATATATAATCACCTTTAAGTTTATTGTCCTTAGCAATGATTTTGAAGACATTTTTTGTTTCTTGTAACACAATGCCAGTTTTTCCAACATATGATGGACATTTAGATCTGCAAACTAATTTTTGAATTGAATTATTTCAGTAACAGCAAACAAGTCAATAACAAAGAGATGTTGACTTTTTCTCAATTATATCAACTACTGCTGTATCTAATCTATGCTTATATAGCTGCTATTGAGGATTTTCAGGTGACATCAAGCTGTAGAGAAATTTGATTCGAGAAAGTAGTTGATATATAACTTTATCATACAGATATTAGTACAACTGAAAAGTTTCTTGAAGATAGCAAGTACACTATTAAAGAATCTGATATGATTTTTTTAAAACATTAACTTTTACAAAGAAATGTATGTTGGCATGCAAAATACATTCTCTGGATTATCGATAATCTTCAATTAACTGATAATTATTTTACTAATACTGTATATAGACAATTTTATTGTAAACTCTTTTTGTGGTAAAAGGAAAAACTAAATGTTTCAATAGTGTGACATCACACTTAAAAACCTCAATAGAAACTATAGATACAAACTCACTTCGCTATATTGTATAACTCATTCATTAAAGAAACCATCAATTTTTAATCTTAAGAGAAAAACAATTTTCACATGGCTTGCCCTCAAACTAATGAAAATCTTTACAAATAATGACATGATTAAATGAAGAAAGCAGACTCACCTGTTATCAAGCACCCATGATAGTCAGCCTTCAACATTTTTGGAGTAACGACCTTGAGTTTACTACAAAAGAATGTAAGAAATGACTAAATAAAAGAACCTGAAGGGTAAGTTAGCAAGTTGAATCAAACAAGGAACAGGTGAGTCTCACAAAAAGAGGAAAAGCTGACTCCCTATTGACTCCGTTGTTTGGACTAGTGCCGGCCTGTTGTGTGGGAGGTTGTGAGTTCAAGCCTTGGCTGAACCAACACACAGAGTATTTAAAATATCTCAGTAGAAGGTGTCTGCTCTAAAAATATCTGCAAATGGTAAGACTTGCTGTAGCTCAGATAACCATGTAAAATGGCACTCCTGTCTCATACAGAGAGGTTAAAAATAGAGGGCCACAAGTTTGTTTGTCAGTTGCGATGGCTGTCACATTTCACTCTCTCTAAATAAGTTTAATCATTATAATATTTATTATTCTTAACAAACTCATTAATAATGCATGAGGAAAACACAATAGAAATAATGACCGTGTAGAGTTTTATAATTCTGGTACAGAATCAAGTTCATTTGCATAAAATACAATTTACACGTCTGTGTTGTATATGATATATAAACTCTCAGCTACAACTCGAGTTTATATATCATATACAACGCGGCCACTCATACTGTATATATTACTTACAGTAGGAGTGACATCCACAAAGGGAAAACAATACAAACACAGTTTGCAGAATTAATAAATGAATGATGTGAAAGACAACAACACTGTATCTCCAGTACCTGTTTTCTTGAAGATTTAATACTTGTTGCATGTATTCTGACCATAACCTATGCAGTGGAAGGTACATCTCATACCTGGTGTGATTTAAAATAAAATACAAAGAAAAAATAAGCTCCACCATTGTCAAAATGAAACTACATGTACACTATGCTGTATATACTGTTTATACCTCGCAAACATTGACTTTCATACTTTGATAATCGTTTGTACAGCAATGTCATGCGCAGTGAGGTTTGTACATCACTGCCATGCGCAGTAAGTGCAAAAAAGGCTCCCACAAGTTGAAGACAACATGCCGAACTCAAGACAGGGGCACTAGACAACGATAATTTATGGGTTTTCGATGATCGTACATGAGACTGACCTTGATGAGGCTCTAAGTCTTCATCTAAACTTGGATGCACCTTTATTCTGATAAGGTTGTCCATATTAGTATTCTTTATATAAAGAATGCTAATAAAGATGAGACTTTATATAAAGTCTCATCCTCATTAGTATTCATTATTATTTATATAAAGAATACTAAGGAAGAGGACTTTATGGGGTTTAAAGGTCCATGCACGTGACGTGTATGGTCACTCCAATTGGTTCAAATGCTCATTAATTATTAATGAGTTTTTGAAGGACTGATTTCACAATACAAAATAATCAAGATTGATTTCTGAACTTGGTGTTGTACACGAGTAAAAGTTGCTTGATGGTTTTTTCCTTTGTGTCTTGTTTTTTAACTGGGTTCTCTCTTTTTCCTTCCACAAAAATAATTAACATTTATAAATTCCAGATTCAGTGGAAAAGGACTTGCTACTTAGACTGTGGGATAACTGTTAAATCCCATTTAACTTAACTTATGGGGTTCATAAATTATCAAACTTACTTTTACTTATTTTTTATTATATTATAATAGTTGTACAACAACTTGGTCACTTTAATAGCATACCTTTATAGCTTGGATATATTGTTTTCCAATTTTGGACCACATTCCCTAGAGTATCACCTCTTTGTTTACTGCTGTTTGCATTACTACGCAGCCACCCCACACCCTGTTTGCAATAGACTGCCGTCAATGAAACACCTCATTCTACTTGGATGTACTCAAACTCTTTGCAATTGCTTTTGGTACTTTCCTTCATGATATCTGACTGAGAAAGTTTGATAGGAAAGCCAACTCACTGATCCAAACGTGCATAAATGGCATCAACATGAATAATTGACGGTAGTCTATAGCAAACTACACAACTCGATTTGTGTCTGGGGTGGCCACGTAGTAATGCAAATGGCGGTAATGGTTGCACATGAGAAGACACATGACTATGTATACAACTGAACAAAGAATCTTATTCTCAAGAAATTGACACAAGGCCTGAAGTAGGAAAACATTATGTCCAAGTATTTGGTCCACTTATGTCACTTATGTGTTTATTATAATGTGCAATGTGCAAAGATACTCTAGAGAATGACACGTGGTCTAAAATACGAAAACATGACACCAAAGCTAAAGAGGTTTATTTACTTGTGATTTCCAGGGGCCAGTTCATATATCTTTTTTTCTCTTTTCTCCTTTGATGACATGCTTTTAGTTTTCTTCTGTTTTGTTTTGTGTCTTTTTACACTGTCAAGCATGAGAGGTTTCCGACGTAGTGTCTCATTAATGGTACTGTTAATGCCATTTCTCTGGATAGATTGTTCGAGAAACGACTCAACGTAATCTTTAGCAGAACAGTTTAGAGGCTGTGGAGCATGAAAACAAGGAAGTGTTTATTATTTATGGGATGAAATAATTAAGTGGATTTTGAAAATAATAATAATAATATTGAAAATAATAATAATAATAATAATAATAATAATAATTTTATTTATATAGCACATTTTCCAATATGCCCAAATGCACTTCTCATGGGATTTACAATATATTTGGAATGAAAATAATAAATAAATAAAATAAAAAATAAGAAAAGGGGAAAGGGAGGAGAAATTATTTCACACAACACTTTAAGGCATGATTGCATGCAGCAATAATTTTCTCTGCAACTTGTCTTGCAATTGCATTGCAACACGAGTGGCATCGAGCATTACAGCATGTAATATAACCTACAGCAAAATTTGAAAAAAATATTGTGAGACTAGAGACTAGAATTTGATTCTACTTTTGGCAACTATTGCGTCTCTGTTACACTGTGTAAACACTCTTGCAATTTGCATTGCAATGCTGTTGTGAGAAAAGTTGCAGAGAAAATTGCTCTGTTTAATCGAGCCTTCCAAATAAATGGGAGATTATTATATTTCATGCTTATTTAATACTTTGCAATTCAGGGAAGGGGGTGGCAAACATAAATATTGGAAGTGTAAAGGGGGGCTATCAAAATGACATTGCCCCCCCCCCCCCCCTCCAACCCATAAATCATGACCAGTGAATTCCCTACCTGAAGTCCAAGTCTTTCTTTGTCATGTTTGATATTATAAGGAAGATCACAGTACAGAGAACCTATACAAGCAGAGTAAGTACATTTCTTAGCGACGCAGTAAACATGTAAGCTGTTTATATTATTCACATGGTGAAACGAGGGATATTTTTTACAACTTTTAAGACTCCCAAAAGATGGTCTACAATAACTAGTGGTTTGTTACGATTTGGCAAAATATCATTACTTTATTAACTTACGGTCAGCAGTATCTTGTAATTTCTCCATTCTCCAGGTTCGATTCTATCAAACCTTACGAGTTAACAACTTTAAACTGCACAATCGTCCGCCATTTTGAATTTCTTTATTCCTCAGTCCCCTTGTGTCAGCGGTTTCACTTCTAAAGCCATGTTGCGATCACGAAACGTTCGTAATGCGCGCGCGAAAATGATCTAATTTCAAACCAAGCTTAGCTTTGACGATTTTGTCCGTTATATCATATTCAGTGATCGGAAAGAATTGAAAGTACATAATAAAAATATGCGGTCTTTTTGGTTCTATATATCTTGTACACATTGCTTACTCCAGGTTTGCTTAGCTATCATCATAGTCTATTACTGGCATACAACATTTACCTATGATGGTCGAGAAACACATAATCTCTATGGCATAGTGTGTTCTGGTGAGTTCTGTCAGTCTTTTCATGCTTATAATAATTCTAATCTTCTTCTTTTCTGTTTTTGTTGATTTTTTTCTGCGTGGAACGAAAATAACAAAAGACATTAGCGCCCTTTTCTTTCTTTTTCCCTTTTTTTTTTTCTTTCCTTTCCTTTTCTTTTCTTTTCCTTTTTTTCTTAGCTATCGGTTTTCTTGCTTGAGTTACGAGGATTTTTTTTTGGGTTATTAAAATTAATTTTCCTCAGTCCCTTCAAAAACAAAACAAAAACAAAAAAAAACAAAAACAACAAAAAAACAAAAAAAACAACAAAAAACTTGGCAACATTTCTAAATCCCACTCCAAGCCGTTCAAACGTTACAACGGAGTCATTTGGATATCCTCCATAATTTGAAGGGGTTTTTTTATTGCCCTTTAAATATAAATTCAAGCTGCATTGCATGTATCTTTTGTGGACCTGACAATTCTTTCTTCAAATACAACATTCCATTTCATTTACTTTTAATCCTTCTCAGCCTCGCATTTTAATGCATGAAGTATATGCTTCTTTTCATTATAGTGGTTCCCAAAAAGTACCGCATACTCGCTCATGTCTTGATGGTTTTTTTCTTTACCTTGGTCTTCTACGCGTTCATGGACCATTTTTACGATTTCTGCCTGGACCCTGAGGATGACAGGTAATGCACTAGTCAATCGTAATCCCTACCCACCCATCCCCCCAGCCCGACCACGGGTCAGGGCGTGGAATTTATCATCCGCTCGTTATTAGATTTAGCACTTTCACCCCTCCCCAAAGAAAGATTTAGAGTTAAATGAGTTGTACTCATAATTAATCAGTGAAATGCTCAAGTATGCGTTAAATTCCCCCTTATCCCTGTGGCAGGTAATAAGAAATCAAGCTCTAATTGATCAGTACTTGTATTGCAAATTTGCAACAGTTATGCTACTTTCCAAAAAGTAAAAGAATATCATAAGAAGAATAGGAAAAAAAAGGCATTCAAAAGATACGTTCATCCTAAGAAGCCAAAACAACCTGTCATATTAGAAGACCCGGTCAAAGACTGGCGGCCCCCGCTGAATGGCGACCAGATCATAAGAGAAAATATTGAAGATCTTTATATGGAGAAATTAAAAGTAAGTAAAAGTTTTTATCCTTGTTTTTCTGTGTAGTCTTCCGAGGCGGATCCAGGATTCCTTTGGGTTGGGGTGGGTGGGGCGTAGTATATTTGGCAGAATAAAGGCAAGCCTGTGGATTAAGTGCTATTAGATATTTTCATGCAACGATTGTGTACCCCTCCCTCTCCCCTTTCATTGCTCCTAGATCTACTGATGCGTGTTTCTCAAAGATTTCATTAAAATTAATGAGAAGTAGAAGTCTGGACCGCCTATCACTTCCAAGAAACCAGAATTTATTTGTGGCCATTAGTCTTGACTAACAATATACTATAACCCGAGAGTGCCAATGGGGTTAGTAGTTTACTGACAATTGACCAAAAAATAGTAGTTCACAGTAGTATTATGGCCAGCGCTCGTAATATTACATTAACATAATTGTCCCTTGTTTATCAGCTGTTAATCTTGGAGTGGTTTTTGATGACCGTATGACTGGTGAACTCCAAGTTAGCAATATCTGTAAATCCTCCTACTTCCACCTAAGGAATCTGTCTGCTATTCGTAAATATTTAACCGTTGATTCTGCTCAGACAGTTATTCATGCTT